TCTGAGACATTCTTTCTAATACAGTCACTTAACAGCTACCGACTGTCTCGTAGCCCACGGTCGCCGTGTCCCGTAAGCCTGGGTGCACCACGCCTTCGTTTTCATTCATCACAAACTAACTTCTGATTTTCCTTATGATTTCTCTCCTGGCACACCGCTTATTCCACGTAATTGTCACTCTCTTGGTGCTGCTGTCCCTGAGGACGGAGCGTGCCCTGGGCAGGACCCCCATCCTCTGGAACACGCCGGGGCTCACTCTGCGGCCCGGCATGCAGTCCAGCCCCGAGACGGTTCCACGTGCCCCCGAGGAGGGTGTGCGGACTTCAGTTTGCTGGGCGTTTTCCTGGCTGCTTGCTGACCTCCCGTCCAGGTCCCCACCCATTACTGAAAGGCGTGTGTCCCCACTTGTTAAAAAGACACTTCAAAAACTGTTGAATGACTTTGGAAAATGCTTAGACATTAAGCAAAAAGCAGTATTAAAATGTGCATGTGTAACATAATTGCTACCGTGTAAAAAAAGGACACTGACAAAAAGGCCATAAAGAAATTAGCAAATGTCCCAGTGACAGCTTCTGGGATGGGGACCCACACTGTTACTGAGTCTTCTAACTTTTAACAAGAAATCCAGTACCTTGATTACCAACATGTATTAGATAGAAAATATGACCCCATATGCACACCCCAGGCTCTGCCAGGATGTGGCACCTGGCCGTCACCGCAGGGGCCGCAGGGCCAGCAGCCATCTGCCCTCTGGGCCTGGCGGCCTGGCTCCCGGGCCCTCCACCCCCACAGTCCCCCCTGGACCCAGAACCACAGGAGACACCCATCTTCTGACGTTTTCCGAGAATATGTGAGGACACACAGTACCCGAGCCACGATGAACACATACGGGCGCGAGGCAGAGGACACAGCTCGCAGGGGCTCCGGTTCACGGAACACGAGAAAAAAACAAACTGCAAAGAGACAAGACTTCAGGGCCAACGGGGAACGTCGGGGCAACAATCTCTGAAACCAATTCAGTGGCGGGGCGGCTCTCCTCACCATCCCTAGAGCCCGGTTTACGCCCCGAGAGTGGAAACGGGCAAGGGAATGGCCACACCGTGAACACTCGGTGAGCCACACCCCACGCTTCCCGGGCCCACAGCCCCACACACCCCGTCTCCTAGAAGCGCGCGCTGAACGTCTTCTCCAGGCAAAACTAACGGGCTGAAAAACCACCTGTACTTCTGCAATTCTGACTCACGTGCGGGAATATAAACAAATGCTCGTAATAATCTTAGGTAAACACACTGCGTATTCCAGTTCCTTTCCACATTTGCTTTCGTTCTTTTAAGAGAAAACGACATACAAGACCAAGCTGACCGAAGCTCACAAGTGCTGACGACAAGACCCGAGTGACAAGCCCGCCTCCCGCCCCACATGCTGCCCGCCCTGTCCCGCGGGGCCCGGCTGCCAGCAAGAAGCCTGAGGTGCCCGAACAGAGCGCCAGGGCAGAGCTGTTTCCAAACTGATAGCACAGATGTTAGCGGGTCATGCTGCTTTGGGTTTTGTTCTGAAAACATTCAAACTAAATGTGCTTAAATGGCGCACTGTGAAGTGAGGGAATGGTTCTTAATTTTACATCAACTTTAACATTTTATGTTAAAAGGAATATGACACTTGCCGTTTGAAATACACAGTCTTTACTTAAAAATTACACCATGCCTGGAGGGAAACAGTCTAAAAACGAAAGAATCCAACAACAGTATAAGGGTCTCATGAATTATGCTGTAGTATCTCAGTACAATATTACGTGCAGGAGGTGCACATGATTTTACAAAGATTCTTAATAACGTGAGAAAAAGCTTACTGTAAGGTTAAATGGGGAAAAAGCACAAAACGGAATTTTATGCGTAATACACTTTTTTTTTTTAAATTTCTGAGAGAGAGAGACAGTGTGAGCAGGGGAGGGTCAGAGAAAGAGAGAGGCACAGAATCAGAAGCAGGCTCCAGGCTCCAAGCTACCGTCAGCACAGAGCCCAATGTGGGGCTCGAACCCACAAACTGCAAGATCATGACCTGAGCCAAAGTCGGACACTTAACCGACTGAATCACCCAGGCGCCCCGCGTAATATGCTCCTAAGCAGTTACAACGCACAGCAAACAGGAACGACATCCAAACAGCTGGAACCCGAGAGGGCCGATGCAGGCCGATCCCATCCCCGCCCACCTGCTGGGGACACACGCAGGCTCGGGAACCACGGAAATTAGTAACAAGCCACCCTCGGGGCGAGACACAGAGGTCGGGTGGAAAAATGCTGCCCAGGTGCCGGGCTGGGCGAGCCCTACTACGCCCACACCCGCGCCCCCGCACAGATCTAGCAGGACCACCACTCCCGGCCCAGTCTGGGCAGGTGATCAAGACGACCCTCACCACCCAGCCCTTCGGTCAGTCCCCCGTCTGCACCTCTGTGGCACCGGAATCCACAGACCACTCCCTCCCTGAAACTGTCCCCTCCCTTGATTTGGGGGACACATCACCCCAGGCCTTCCTGCCTCTAAAAGCACTTCTTGCCTGATTCCCCCACGGCCCCTGGCCCCCCTGGGTGCGCATCCCCGCCCAGCCGCGGCCCCTGCCAGTCTCTGCCCCCCAAAAGGACGACGGTGAGTCTTGCTCAGCAGCTCCCCCTGCAGCCTCCCCAAAGCACCTCCCGCCCCCAAAGCCAAAGCAGACGAGACCAGACAGGCCCTGAGCATGGCTCCCTTCAGCTGCACACCCCCCGGGGCTCACCCGCGCCCCTGCACACTGGGACTCACCCAGACCTGCCTGTGTCCCCCCGGTGCCCCCGCCTGTCCTCAGTCACCGCCGTCCCCAGAGCACAGCACGTCCCCCCACCCCTCCGCCACACCCCTGCCACTCTCTCCACAGGGCACCCCTGCCCATCCCACGAGGTGCTGCGGGAATGTAACCGTCTGGGAGGATGCCTCCAACCCATGTGCTGCACCCCACACACCTCAGGACAGCACGAAGGTCTGACTGTTTTCATTCAATGTCTTCATGACTTGTTTAAAACCCGTCTTCCTGCAGGAACTGCAAGCTCCAAGGGAGCAGGGGTTGCTCACCCAGCTCGCCTGCGTCTCCGCCACCCTGCAGAGGGCCGGAGGGGCCCGCTTGACAAGGGTGACGTGGACTGACATGGCTTCCACAGCCCTGTGCTCCGCCCAAGACCAGTGCTGCAGCACGCACTCCAGGAAGGTCGCCAGGAAGGACCGTGCTTCCGCCCCGGGGACCGCTGGGCAGAGCTCCGGGCCTCTCACTGGGACATGAGCTGTGCGCAGTGATGAGACCTGCACGCAGGCCAACACGGTGAGCACTCGCAAGCCCAGGGGGCAAGATCTAAAAGGACGCAAGTCCACCAATCGTATCTGAAAGCCAGGACTGAAACATCGAGTATGTCCACTTAACGACACAGTCAACTGCCAGAAACAGAGGGTGTTTCATACAAGTCTTCCAAAACCACCCAGTCCATCCACTCAGTGCATGTGTGTGTATGCGTGTGCGTGTGCATGTGTGTGTGCATGCATGTGCCCACGTGCATATGCTGGGGGCACAGGAGAGCAGACACGCTCTCTCTGAGCTGAACCGAGGACCCAGATTCTATTCCTGCCAGTTCCTCTCTCTTCTAGACAATGACCCTCTGTCCCGTCACCCTGTGTCACTGGGAACTCAGGCAAATGCAAGCAGGATCACCCAGGTCTTACAACACAAGTTGGTGGTAAGGTAGTTAAGACAAACTTACTTACCACGTTAATTAAACGGTCTATTTAACATGGACTATCAATTCTCTAATCACATCTCGGCCGAACTTCTTTCAATTACCAACTCGGCCGTCTACAGACAGGTCCTCCCGCTCCAGGATCATTAGGAGCATTTTCATTATCTGTCAAACGAGGGAGTAAGGAGCAGGAAGGCAGCTCTCCGCCGGCCTCCCCCCTACTTAAGAGACGATCAGGGAGGGAGCAGAGGCCGTTCTCATTAGTCACTTAGCAATGGAAAGTCCTATGCAATCAGCAGTGCAAATAAAGTGTGAGAGGTTGCAGTAAAATGCTGGATGGGCACATTCTCATCCTCAGAGAATAATCCATCCCGGCCAGACCTCATCTCTCAGATCATGGCAACGATGAGAATCTGAAGTACCCTGGAAACCGAAATGGCTAAAAACACAATCTCATAAAAACAAACACCGAGTCACGAGGGTTCATGGGAAGACAAATTAAAATTGGTTTTAAGTAAAAATGCTACAACCAAACGGTAAATCCCATCTTTGGTGTGTGCTTATTTCTGACCCACAGATAAGTTAAAAAGTGGATCCCACATGGAGGTTATCACAAGTCTTTAAAATGTAACATATGTTGAAAATAGGTTACATTACAGTTGGCCGCTGTAACATAAATGGGAGAAAAATACAGACCTCAAAGAGAAAACCCATAACCCAACCTAAGTCTCCATTAAATCCGTTATTTTGAATGTCGTTAATGTTTCCACAAAATGAGCCACTACTAGTAGATCAAAGGTATTTCTGGAGACAGTGCGCCTCAGAATGTGATGAACGAGGGTCTGGGGTTAGGCCGTAAGCAGGACCTTCAACTGCCATCCCATCCCCTTGACCTGATCCACTCAAATCCACACCCTGAAAGCCGGTGCTCTGGCCATCAGAACAAACCCACCTGCTCGAAGATCACACTTCTCCTTGTGAATCATTAAAAAGATTATGGCAATACTGAAAACTGCATCTTAACTTCTCTGGTAGTTAAGCACATGGATTTAGAGACATTTTTTAAAGCTGGCATCAGCAAGAAAACTATTACTCTCTACTATGAGTTGTCATCACAACATTAATGGCAATTTTCAACACGGGCATAACTATGCACAGTAGCATGGTAAGGCCACCAAAGTTCATGGCGACGCCCGTGAGGTCATGCCGACGCCCGTGAGAGGAAGCATCAGGATGCGGTCTTACCTATGTGTTCGCACATGAAGACGACAAAGAAAGGGGTGACGAGGTCATTGATCCCCTGAACATATCCACTGGCAGGGTGACGGATCGCCCAGATGAACAATATCCTTTCAAAAATCTGCAAGAAAAATGAACAGGTGGTGAAGCCAACAGTAAATGCGTCAGAAACTTTAAAACATACGCGCATTCACTCAAAAAACATATGGTCGATATTTCTGTCCTAATATTAAAAATAAAAATGTAAACAAGCATTAATTCCTACCTGACTTTTTCATAAAATTCCAGTTTATCTGAATTTCTTACTGACACACAAGCACCTGCCGTCTGTCGGTGACCCCGGGCGCTGCCCTAGACGGCTGCTCCTCCCCGGCCCGTGGGCAGAGCGCACGAGGCTGCCTGGGGCCGTCTCAGGGAGCAGGGCAGGACAGGAGGCCCAGAGGCAGGTGCACCTGTGGATGGATGGGTGCTGGGGAGAAGGGAGTGTAGCAGGAGCTCCGTGGAAGGGTGCTCTGAATTTCCCTCATAAGGAGAACACGTTGTTTTAAATCAGGTACAGCTGACATATAACATCACCCCAGTTCCAGTCTGTAACATTTGAGGAGTGACCCAATATTTGTATATATTACAGAACACTCACCACTTTAAGTCTGGGTAAGCCCTGTCACCGTACATAGTTACAATTATTTTTCTCCGAATGAAGACTTCTAAGATCTCTCTGCGACTCTGACGTACGCAGCGCAGTGCTAACCGCAGCCACCGCACTGCTTACCACGTCCCGGGACTTCTTTTACTCCAACCCCCTTCACCCACCCCTGCCCCTGACAACCGCCAATCTGTTCTCCGTATCCATGCACTTGGTTTCAGGGTTTTTTGTTTTAATAGATGTTTTTTTAATCCCTGGAAAGCGATCACCATCCGAGGGTCCCTACTCCAGTGTGTCCCCATCACACACTTCCACGAGCCCTTCGAGGACCCAGGCCGAGGACGCAGGAGGGGCTCGGCCTCCTCTCTCTCCTTACCAGATGCTTGCTGCTGCCCGGGCCTCGAGCTAAGAAGGCCCGGGGTGCAGGCGCCAACAGGCAAACACCCAAACAGAGCATGAGTTGCATCATTTCCAAACAAGTCAGGCCTGCGGAACGACTCTTGTCCCCCAGGAGGTCGACCCTCCCTGCACGGCCTGCAGCCCTAGCATCACTGAGCTGTGGTCTACATCCCCGATGGGTACCGAGCCAGCTGTACAGCGGGGACCCTGGGCCGGGGCGGGGAAGTCTCCTCACACAAGACCCCGTGGTCAGCGGCTCCGGAATCCTGGCCCCTGCCTGGGGCCCACCCTGGGACGCCCCCCACGGTGCCTGCTCCAAACAGGGACCATCCCACTGGGCAGCAGAGAAATGTCTGCCGAACAAATAACACCATCACGCACACACATTCACACACGGTTTTCATCTTACACCAACAGCCTTCCAGGGAGACCTAGAAAGAATATTCAAAGAGCAAAAAGACAAAAACTACTCAGCGCGCAGCCCCATCTGACGTTTCTTGTGCGCAAACACCAGGGGGCTAACTCGTGCTCCCACGATGGCACGCCAGCCGGGGGAGCTGGAGGTGCTCCAGACACAGGACGGACACAGAAACAGGCTCCACGCGGGACAGGACCCCCCTCGCACACTCTAGCACCTCTCAACCACTGGCCAGCCACATGGCAGTCAAAGCCCCCAGGAGCCAGGGAGGCCTGAGACAGCGTCACAGCTGTGACGGCTGGGGACAGGCTACAGAAGCCAAGGCGCGCTCGGCACAGAGGCCACATCGGCGTGAGGAGACAGCCGCCCCAGGACCACTGGGCGGGAAGCCTCCTTCGGGGCCCGGAGCACGCAGCTCAGGCGGCACAGGGACGGGGAGGCGCAGCCGAGGAGGACACACTGTGACAGTTCACACACACAGAGCAGCAGAGCCGTGAAGCCCGGTTACGGCTCTCCTCACTAACAGGGCCCAGAAGTTCACGTACAGCTCACTGGTAGATTTCTGTCCTGCACTAGAAAGTTCTAGCAAACATGACCGGCAAGGGGGGAAACTCGCCTGCATGCGTGCTCAGTCACAACACGGTCAGAATCGCGGAGCCTGGCGGAGAAGGTGCGTCCCCAACACCAGCTCCCTGGAGAGCGGGGTAAGGCAAGGGGCCAGGAGAGGTGAATGCACTTGCTCCGGCCCACACCTCCCCGGTGGAGTCTGGCCCTCACCCCTGCAGAGGGCGGTGCTCGAACAGCCCCAAGGGCAAAAATGGGGCTCAGGAGACCTTTCAGTCACTGTCGGCATGGCCCTTGTCCCCTACACAGAACACCCAGATCCAGGGTCAGCCTGCCCTAGAAGAAGCTTCCAGGCTGGCAGGGGGCCAGGCACCCACAATGGACACCCACACCGCACAAGGGGCCACGTCCACAGTGGCTGCCCGGCCAGAGGCCTCTGCAGCTATCACAAGACAGCCGGGCCTAAGGAGGGCTGGGGACGAAGAAGATGTGTCAGCCCCATGGACACGTGCAGGGAGGAGCTCCACGGGGTACGGTCTGTGCAGACGGACAGAGCAGAAACACACCAGTGCCGTCTGGGGGCCACTGAGGGTGAGGCAGAGCAGGAAGGAGGCACTGGGCACGCCCCAAATACCATGGTGCATATGTGGGCTTCAGGAGGCAACCTCACAGAGATAGTAGCTAAGATTTATTAAATACTCACCGTCCTAACCACCTTCAATTAGCTCATCTAATCCCCTGCTAATCTTTCTTTTAAGTTTTATTTTTATTTTTTTTTAACTTTTGAGAAATAGAGTGTAAGCAGGGGAGGGGCAGAGAGAGAGGGAGACACAGAATATGAAGCTGCTCCAGGCTCTGAGCTGTCAGCACAGAGCCCGACGCAGGGCATGAACTCACAAGCTGTGAGATCATGACCTGAGCCAAAGTCAGCTGCCCAACTGACTGAGCCCCCCAGGTGCCCCACATCCCCTTCTAATCTTTGAGGCAGGCTGCTTACTCCCCCACTTTCTGATGATGCAGCTGACAGACCCAGGACAGCCCTGTGTCCCCCTCTGTCTGGTGTACACACCCTCATGTGACCCTGGGTCGCACAGTGTGTGACCTGGTCGCACACGTGTGTATGCACAGATATGGGGTGCATACCCATGCGTGTGAGCACAGGTGTGTGGTACATGCGCATGCAGGAGCTCGTGTGAGGTGTGTGCACACAGATGTGTGGTACGTGGGTGCATTTGCATAGGTATGTGGTGCATGTGTGTGCATATGTACACGTGTGCACAGGTGTGTGGTACGTGTGTGCATGCAGGCGTGTGGTGTAGGTGCACAGTGTGTGGGGGCGGAAGGGGGGCTGGAGGAGAAGCCAGACCCCAGCACACAGGAATCCCCTTTCGGGCTCTGCAGCCTCATTGGGGAAGTGGTGATGTCAGCCGTGGAGCCCTCCCGCCCTTCAAGGCCGCCCCACACCTTGAGAGCTTCTCCCTCTCTCTCTCACATGCACACACGCATGCACATGCACACACTACACCTGCTCACAAGCACGTGCACAGACCCCCCCCAGTCACCCAGGCCCCGGAGACAAGTTGGCACCAGCGGTGAGCACGTGGGGCCCGAGGCTTCCGAGTGCACCTGGCACCGCGCGGGCAGCGGCCATGGCCTCCTCGGGACTCCAGGCCCGGCGGCCACAGGAGGGCTGAGAGTCGCGGGCCCGGCTCCTGACTCAGCCCCAAAGCCGAGATGGACTGGGCCCCATGGGACCCGGATGGGGAGACTGAGGAAAGCACCGGGGGACAAACGCGTCTGCAGAACCAGGCGGAATGAGGCGGCAGCAGGAGCGAGCAGCGCGGCTTCTCAGTCACAGACGCAGCTCGAGCGCTTCCAAAGCACCGTCGGTGGAGGAGCCGAGCGCCTAGCCTCCCGCCCCCCACCTGGGCCGCCCGTGGGCTCCAGGGGCGCCGGCCCACGCACGCGCACGCTTGAGAACAGTGCTCAGGGTTCGTATTACTGTGGAGGAAATTTTAGGAATTCAGATCTCCCATTGAGGAAAGCGATCACTTAGCTCAAATTATTTAGATTGAACTCCACTTGATCCCTCTTGATAAACTGAAAATTATACTTTTAAGGCTTTAATCCCAGTAACAGGTAAATAAAGGGACAAGAGGCTCAATCATGAACAAAAATGGCTTTTACCATGTCAGGCAGGCTAACATCCGGAAAGAGCATAGCCCAGAGAGGTTTGGGACACAAAACTGGCTCTGCCACCAAGGAGACACAAGCCCGCAGGTCACCGCCTCGGAGGTCCGGCCCAGAGGCCGTGGGCAGCGGGGGCCCCCAGTGCCTTCGCCACCAGAGCAGCGTCCGAAGAGTCAGCTCCAGCCCTCCTCTGGTCTCCAAAGCCACAGCTTACTGGCCGTCATCTCAGGTCGGGTCCCCCGCGACACTCTCCCCGCTGACACCCAGCACTCGACACCCCCCAGGGCAGCAGAGGGAGCTGCTGGCACATCAGGTCACACCGTCCATGACGGGCGACTGCCCAGGACACAGACGGTGACTGCAAACTCGCGACCATGACCCCAAGGTGCCTGACCTGCCCCTCCCCACCTCCTCACCTCCACTGCATCCTCTCCCACCAAACCCACCACCCCCCGACCCCCTCGTGGCCTCTGCACCTGTCCATTCCATGACGCCCCACCCCCAGCCTTCCCTGGACGTCCTTGATCTCCAGTGTTAGGTCTGAGTCCAAACACCACCTCCTGAGCAAAAGCTGCCTTTACCAGCCCAGCCAGAATGGCACCCCACTTCCAAGCCTGCAGCCCCAACACGCTTGCGCGTGAGCCCCCTGAGGAAGGTCGCCCCACATCCCCTTCACAGCTGTGCCCTCAGTGCTGCCACAGGACAGGTGCAGAGGAAAACCCCAGCACCTGCTCTGGCCTCACAGACGCGTGACGGATCCGGGCCCCAACCCTTCATTTTGACCCCCATGCATCTCTGCTCTCCACGGCCCGCGCCACTGTTGAGCGCCTGACCTTCCGGTGCCGGGGACACAGCTCCAAGCACCCCGGGACCTCGGCCAGCTCCTTCCACTCTGTTTCTGCAT